ACATACTAAGACACACACACTCACACATTTTTATTTTTTAAATTTAATCCCCCCAGCCTCCTTACCGATTGGAGTGCTGGGGGGATTCCCTGGGGTCCAGTGGTGCTGCTGCTGGGCTCGTCTGGGCAGGCGGGCGCGCGAGGGAGCACTTTCCCCTAAGTGCTTCCTCTTCAGCTCCCTCGCGCGCCGCTTAGTGATGCCGGCGCCGGAAGATGACGTCATCTTCCGGCTCCGGCATCAGTGCGGTGCGCGAGGGAGCTGAAGAGGAAGCACTGAGTGCTCCCTCGCGCGCCCGCCTGCCCGGTGACAGCAGGGCCAGCCTCGGGGGGCCCTGGGGTGGTCGGCTCCTGGGCCCCCCAGGGGAAGAGGCTGGCCCTGTGGCTACATACCGGGTCGCAGGGGCAGCCGGGCCCCCTGGTGGGCCGGGCCCGGTCGCAGCCGCGACCCCTGCGACCCTGGTATGTACGCCACTGCAGTAAAACTGCACATTTTAGAGTGGCCTTTTATTGTGGCCAGCCTAAGGCACACCTGTGCAATAATCATGCTGTCTAATCAGCATCTTGATATGCCACACCTGTGAGTTGGATGGATTATCTCGGCAAAGGAGAAGTGCTCACTAACACGGATTTAGACAGATTTGTGAACAGTCTTAGATCTTTGAGTTCAGCACATGGAAAATGGGAGCAAAAACAAAAGTGTCGCGTTTATATTTTTGTTCAGTGTATATAAAGTGATGTGGATACGTATACCCTAATACCTCGAAGTAATGGTTGTGTGATAAAGTGCAAAAGTGCAATATCTTAATTAAGAAGATTATGATTAATTAAAGTGCTTATTACTTATACAGTAGATACCGTCTACTGCAGAAATAGGGTCCTTATAAAGCAAAATACTTCAGAAAGTGAATACTGCATACTAGAGTGAAATATGTGTTGCAATCTCCCTGTGATTGAACATAGTAAAAAGGTAAATGAAAGTGCCGGTGCTTCCAAAGGCAAAAAGTACACATCCAAGGGCACTTATTAAGTCACTCCCAAAAGCACAATATAATATATAATATATAATATAATCCACACACAGTATTGTTTTGTCCACCAAGTAAATGTAAACTACTACAAAACATCATGAGTACAGCCTTTTTAAAAAAATTTAACATTTTTGTATTAAAGGTAGAGGCTAAGCACCCGGTAAACAATTTAAGCATGTGTGCAAGGATTCAGAGTGTATATAGGGATCTAGTCTGTGTATGATTAGATGATCCAGAGATGGGTAAGGGATCTAGCGTGTATCTGGAGTGTAATGTCTGTATTGGGCAGTGTGAGCGGTGCTGTAGTATATATACATATATGTTTGGACGTATTGTATGTGTGAGGGGCGCAGTGTGTTAGGTGTGCTGTGTGTATGTGTGAACGGTACAGCATGTGTGTGTGTGTGTGTGTGTGTGTGAGGGGTGCAGTGTGTGTGTAAGAGGGGTGCTGTGTGTGTGTGAGGGTGTTCTTATCTACCGTCACATTCTATGTTTCTAGTTTTCTTTGTCTGCTAACTCACTGAGGTTTATTTTATATAGTTAATATATGTGTGTGTGTTTGTGTGTGCTGTGTATGTGTGAGGGTGCTGTGTGTGTAATGGTGCTGTGTGTGTCTGAGGGTGCTATGTGTGTGCGAGAGTGCTGTTAGTTGAGTGTGCTGTGTGTGTGTGTGTGTGTGTGTGTGTCGGAGGGTGCTGTGTGTGTCTGAGGGTACTGTGTGTTTGGAGGTGCTGTGTGTCTGGGGGTGCTGTGTGTGTCTGAAGTTGCTGTGTGTGTTTGAGGGTGCTGTGTCTGTTTGAGGGCACTGTGTGTGTCTGAGGGTGCTGTGTGTGTGTCTGAGGGTGCTGTGTGTGTGAGAGTGCTCTTAGTTTGAGGGTGCTGTGTGTGTCTGAGGGTGCTGTGTGTCTGGCGGTGCTGTGTGTCTGGGTTTGCTGTGTGTGTCTGAGAGTGCTGTGTGTGCCTGAGGGTGCTGTGTCCGTTTGAGGGGACTGTGTGTGTCTGAGGGTGCCGGGGGTTCTTAGGTTGCTGTGTGTGTCTGAGGGTGCTATGTGTGTCTGAGGGCACTGTGTGTCTGAGGGTGCTGTGTGCTGGTCCGTCTTTAACACGGGTCAAAAGGGGCAGCTTCCCTGGACCCAGTCATTCCTAGGGGGCCCAAAGCAGCTGCCACTTGAGCCCGCCGGCCACCCGAGAGCAATGAGTCTGCAGGGGCCTGGTCAGTGCTGCGGTGCTTTAACAGCGCGACCGGGCCCCCTGTGATGAGGTCAGCGCTAGGAGGAAGTGCAGTCCTGCCGCGCAGGAAGGAGGAAGAGAGGAGGAGTGAGGACTGGGAGAGAGACCAACTCGCAACAGCCTAAGGCAGCCACTGGACCCAATGTAGGAAACATGAGTGTGACTGAAATTGTATATTTTCCATGTGTGTCCGTTTGTGTGTGTATAGTTGTCTGCATGTGTATCAGTCTGTGTGTGTATCTGACTGTATGTGCATATGTGTGTTTCTGTGTGTATATTTGTCTGTATGTGTATATGCACGTGTCTGTTTATCTGTCTGTGTATCTGTCTGTATGTGTATCTGTGTATCTGTCTGTATGTGTATATGCATGTGTCTGTGTTTGTGTGTGTGTATCTGTCTATATGGATATCTGTGTGTCTGTATGTGTGTCCCTCTGTATATGTGTATGTCAATATTTGCATCTATATGAGTGTCATCCAGTGTATCTGAATGTTTGTCATTAAGTGTGTCTGTGTACCTTCATGTGTGTCAGTGTGTCTGTATGTGTATCGCTGTGTCTGTATGTGTATCTCTTGGTATGTGTTTCTGTGTATCTGCATGTGTGTCAGTGTGTGTCCCTGTGTATCTGTCTGTGTATGTGTATCTGTGTATGTGTCCGTATATGTATCTTTGCATCTGTCTGTGTTAGTGTTTGTCTGTGTAATTGCATTTGTGTCCGTGTATGTATCTGCATGTGTGTTATTGTGTTTATCTGCATATATGTCAGGGTGTGTTTGTTTATCTGTGTGTTAGTGTGTGTCTGCATGTTTGTCAGTGAGTGAGTGTATCTGTGTATCTGTATGTGACAGTGTGTATCTGTGTATGCACCTGTGTGTCTGTGTATCTGTCTTTGTATGTCTGTGTATTTGGATGTATATACCTGTGTACCTTCTTTTTTCTTTCTTTTCTTTTCTCTTTTCTTTTCTCTTTCTTTTCTCTTATGTACCTGTGTATGCCTGAGCCTGTGTATGTGTGTATCTGCATTTGTGTCAGTGTTTGCATCTGTATTTGTGTAAGTGTGTGTATTTTCTCTAGGTGTATTTTCTCTTTGTGTGTCTGAGGGTGCAGTGTGTTAGTGTACTGTTAGTGTGAGTGTGCTGTGTGCTGTGTGTTTGTGTCTGATGGTGATGTGTGTGTCTGATGGTGCTTGGTATCTCAGGGTGCTGTGTGTGTCTGAAGGTACTGTGTGTGTCTGAGGGTGTTGTGTGTGTGAGGGTGCTGTGTGTGTCCGAGGATGCTGTGTGTGTCTGAGGGTGCTGTGTGTGTGAGGATGATGTTAGTGTGAGTGTGCTTTGTGTGTGTGAGGGTGCTGTTAGTGTGAGTGTTGTGTGTATATGTTTGTGTGTGTGAGGGGGGGACAGATTTAAATATATTAAATATGTAATTTTTTTAATAAAAAAAAAACTAAACTTTATATCCCCCACTCCCTTCTTACCTTCTGCCTGTGAGGGGGGGCAGTGCTGCAGTCCCTGGTGGTCCTAGTGGTGAGTGAACTCTAGCCTCGGAGGCTAGAGTTCACTCTCTCGTTATCTGAGCGTTGCCGTGGTGACCGCGGCAGCGCTTTGACCTTGCAAGAGTAACCCGGCAGAGCTGCAGGTAAGAGCTTCACCAGGTCCTCCCTCCCTCCCCATCTTTGATCTCCTCACCAGCCCATGAAGGCACACAGCAGGGCCGGCGCACAGATATTTGCAATTCTAATGCATGAAATGTGTAATTTTTTAAGTGACATCATATTTTTTTTCTCCTAATACTATGGGTCTATCTAAATTTAATGAACAGACAAAAGTAAAGTATGCATCTAATATCAAACAGCACTGTTGATTCACTTCTTTCAGTAAAATGCATGTTGGTGAACATGTAGAAATCTACTGGAAAATAATTATAGTTTACTGTTTAAAACTAGGAAGTAACAGAACAGATGCATGTGATCATGCATAGTTTTAAGAAGTAATATTCGGATGTGGCTTATAATTGCAAAACTTCCCATTTCAGAAATGTTAGTCACAAATTATGATGTATGTTGTGTTGGTGTTTGATTGCTTGGATGTATGCACATACACATATACACTGTCACATACATACTTGCACAGATATACAGACACATACACACACACAGAGATACACACACAAAAACAGAAATGCACACACTGACACATGCACACACCCTGACACACAGAGACACACACTGACACATATACACACACATGCACACCCTGACACACAGATGCACACCCTGACACAGATGCACGTAATCAAAATTATTTAATCCCTATTGAAAATCAGGTTTACAGACTTTCAGCTGTTTTCAATGAACAAATCAACCAAAATCAATTGAAATAGCTCAACACAATGAATGCTTCAAGTGGTAAACTCTAAATTCCCAGTCTCAAAATAATTTAACCCAAGCATCTTTGGTAGTGATGTCCCGAACGGTTCGCCGAACTGTTCGTGAACAGTTCGCCACGAACGGTTCGCCACGGACTCATCATTGAGTAAACTTTGACCCTGTACCTCACAGCAGTGTTTCCCAACCCAGTCCTCAAGGCACACCTACCAGTCCAGGATTTAGGGATTACCCAGTTGTGTCTAAGGTGTTTTTACAAAGAAGAAAAAAAACACCTTAGACACAACTGGGTAATCCCTAAATCCTGGACTGGTAGGTGTGCCTTGAGGACTGGGTTGGGAAACACTGCCTCACAGTCAGCAGACACATTCCAGCCAATCAGCAGCAGACCCTCCCTCCCAGACCCTCTCACCTCCTGGACAGCATCCATTTTACATTCTTAGCGAGCTGTCCAGGAGGTGGGAGGGTCTGGGAGAGAGGGTCTGCTGCTGATTGGCTGGAATGTGTCTGCTGACTGTGAGGTACAGGGTTAAAGTTTACTCAATGATGAGTCCGTGGCGAACCATTCGTGACGAACCGTTCGCGAACCGTTTGGCGAACCGTTCGAGACATCACTAATCTTTGGTACTTAGTAGAGTCCAATGATGTCCAAGTTTCAGCTTTCTCACAGACGGCATGACGTTTTCTCCCTGGATTTCCTGATAATTTAATAAATCCATTTTACCATCCACATGCTGCAGGTTACCAGTGCCAGCGGATGCAAAGCAGCCCCAGAGCATCACCAAGCCACCACCATGCTTGACTTTAGGTAGAGTGTTCTCTTCAGCATATACTTCATTCTTTCTCCTCCAGACATACCGCTGATCCATTGGGCCAAAAAGTTCCTGTTTTGTTACATTGTTCCACCGAACAGAATCCCAAAACTTCTGTGTCTTATTTATATGATTTTGAGCATATTAGAGTCAACTTTTTTTAAAACTTTTGGGTCAGTAGTGGTATAAGTCTTGGAGTTCTGTCATGGATATCTTCTGTGTTTAGTAGGTGCTGTGATGGACTACCCTGTCTCTGGATTATAAGTACTATGTTTCACTCTCTTTTATGTCCGGGACATTGCATTTCCCTTCATTTTATTATTATTTCATTCACCCACCGAACAAACTCCCAAACAACCATCCGTATGCAGTGTACCACTCATTAACCTCTGTCACTGTCTTAACACTCCTAAACTGCAAACATTCTAAGCAGTCGGCTGGGTCTTTAATAATGAACACACAGAGCGGTGTTTGGTCGTCGAGTGCATGGAACCCAAATCGGGCACTCAACGGTACTAACACCACTATAACTTCCCTTCCATTGAAGTTCGGTTAAACGTATGGGGATTGAAAGGCGTTCGGTGGGAGCAAGCTCCCGAACGAGAGACTGAGCGTACCCACGAACTGCTATGTTCTGTGTTTTGACTATATTGAGTATTCCCAAAAGAGGCCGACCGCATAGCCTGATTTCATGGAACTCTTTTGGGCAGGAGCCTCGTGTGCGGTCGGTCAAAATATGACCTCCATTTAAATCCCAAATCCCTGAATGATTTTTGGATATGTTGGTCACCCAGATTGGGGCCATCAGGGTATGTAACTTTTGTGGGGTTTCCATGGGTTTTGGGGGTACTTTCGGGGGACTGCTAAAATGTATGTTTTCTGTGCCTGGAGATAGTTGAGTTTAGTACAGTTTCTGACTCCATTATCTCTCAGGCACCTGGACCTGAGAGCCAATGTAATCATGTGTATGTTTTTACTGTCTACTCTGTCTACTCTTTTTACTGTCTACTCTCAGATCTAGCGGGGAATGCCCCTGGAATATGTAACAGGAAATCCCTTGCATGGCGACTGACATAAAGGGCCGTGTGTGGCCCCATTAAAGCCAGTTGTCCACAACATAGAGCCTTGTCTAATGTTTGTGAAATAAAGCTATAACGGCTGTCTCCCTTCTGCTTGGAGTGCTAAATCACTAGCTCTTGTAAGAGCTGTTCCTGCTCTGTATTACAGCATCCCTCACACTAGGGGAAGAAGAACATCTCTGGTGGCAAAACCCCTCTTCCCCTCGGGGTGGCCACCACAGGTGCCTTACTGTGCTCACTGAAACCTAAGTACCTATTGCCACTAAGTATTGCTGCAGGTCTTTTGTAGTCATTTGAGGGTTTTTCACAATCTGGCTTCTCAGAAATCTGGTTGTAGCTATTGATAGCTTCCTTTTTCTGCCCCATGCAGGTAGTGTAACCTCTGTTCCTTCAAACTTGAACTTGCAAGCTATGCGTCCAACTGTGTCTCTAGGAACATTCAGTGCCTTCACTATCTTTTTGTATCCTGTTCCCTGTTTGTGAAGGTTGATGATCTCTTTTCTTAACTTAAATCAA